TGCTCCAGGAGCTCCTCTTTGCCTTTGCTCAGGATGTTGGGATCATGGCATGTGTTCCCCATTCCAGCTGGCTAAGATGCCAACCAGTCTCCAAAATCCTGCCCTACTATCATCTTTCCCCATGCAGGTCCTCCTGAGCTGAGATGATCTCTCCCTTCTTTTCGTGTCTGTCAGACTTTTCTGTTCAGACTCTCCCCATTCACAGTATATCATGGTTCTTGTATCTGTGCCATCGTCTTCCAACAACTGGTTCTGCAATTCCTCTAACAATCATAGTCAATATGTCCCACAGGATAAGCATGAAATAGGGTAGGGAGAGATGAATGAATGAATGAACAAATGTCTGTGCACAGTGGAGTGGCAACTGAGGTCATTTGCCAGAGAATTCTAGTCAAAAACAAACAAAAATCAGAGACAACTATCTCCTTCAATTTTGTAGAGTCTGACATAATAGGATAACTGCCATTGAGCTACTTAATTTTACCATAAACTCAACTAGGATTTAACACACTAAAAAAGTACCATTTAAAAAGATCTACAAATAAGAAATAATTCAGAGGGGGATAACAATTCCTTGCTTCAAAATACTAAGAAAGCACAACCTCTTTGCTAAGCTCTTTTCTAAGCCAACAAATAAACAGGCTGAATGTTAGTAACTTTTACCACTTCTGTTCGGCTCTGTAACATTTGCCATAAACTATCAATGCAATGTCTGAGGTTCTGTATCATTTCCACTTTGTACTTCACACTGTCCTATGTGTAGTTTCACTCTTCTCCTCAAACTTCCAAACATTTTCACAGCACTGTGGATTTTTAACTGACAAATCTGTGTGTTAATTTCTGGAAAGTCACTCCTCGCTGCGAGCACAGTGCCCATCATTTGAAAACCACACACAACATCTCTGGTACACTATACAGGGATACAAAAAGGCATCAAAAAGGAAATGAAAACTGCTGCCACTTTTCTGAAAAGTTCTCTGAAAATTCCAGGGCAGGCCAAACCCAGTTAGAAACCATCGCAATCTGCAGGAAGGGACAGCAGCCTTAAACTCTGCACCAGGCAGTCTGGTTGCCATTAGTAGCTGACAAGTTCACGGGCCACACATTTTCATTTTCTTTCCGGCTTTCTCACTCCTGGGCTCTGTCGCCTGCATTTTCTCACCCACGTCCCAGAGGAACATGCCAACAGAGTCTGACAAGGCTTTGTTCTTTCTCTCCAGAATATTCCTAGCCAACCACCAACTCTGAATCACCTCTCCCTACCTCTCTGGCAGCCTTAACAATGAAAATGAGGAAGGCCACAGGCTGCAAAAAGCAGGTCTGGACTGGCCTGGGGGTAATGGATCTGAGTTAATCGTATCCACAGCTAACTAACAGGAAGCTGAGCCAAGCACTGTTCTAAACTCTTATGCGTCTTAACTCATTCAATCCTTGCAACAATCCTACAAGGTAGGTACTATTAGAAACCCCAATTCACAGGTACAAAGTGGAGGAACCAGAAGGCTGAGCTACAGACCCAAGGTCATACAGTGGGTAAGTCCAGAGAATGTGAGCCGGGCATTTCCCATTCACCACGGGTCCAGAGTCCAAGAGCTTTATCATTGAGCCACACTGCCTGCTGAAATTCAACAGGGCCAACACTGCCCTTGAGTACCTGAAGCGCAGGTGAACTCCTGGGCAAACCCAGAATCTGTCTACCGTCCGCAGTGGAGGACCACCTGGCCACGGCTGGCCGGCTGCCCCTGGAGGAGGACTGAAGTAGTCATCTCTGATTTGTGTGTACCCAGCCATGTCCATTTCCTCTTCTTCTGGGAAGAGCACCCTACTTTTCCTTGGGGTAACCACTCTACTCTCAGCCTACCTAGTTCTGGTAGCGTTGACCCCCCACAACAATGGCCTCCCCAAGTTCCAAGAACAGTCATATGACCCAGACCTGGCTAGTCAATGCATCCCACCCTCCAGGCATGGCAATTAGCTTGGGGAAAGTCACTTGCCACAAGCCAGGCACAACGGGGTCAATTCTGGGGCTTTCTTTAAAATCATGGTAAAATACATACAAAATTTAAGTGACCATTTGAACCTTTTTAAAGTGCACAATCCCATGGTATTTATTCGTACTGCTGAACAACCACCATCACCATCCATTTCACAACTTTTCCATCTTTCCAAGCAGACGCTGTACCCACCCCACAGAACTCCCCGCACTGGTTTGCTTGGGCTGCCCTAACAAAGTGCCACAGAGGGGCTTAAACAACCGAAATCTACTGTCTCACAGTCCCAGAGGCTGGCAGTCCGAGATCAAGGTGCCAGCAGGGCTGGTTCCTTCTGAGGCCTCTCCCGTCAGGCCGCAGACGCCTGTCTCCTCCCAGTGCGTGTGTGTCTGTGACCCAATCTCCTCCTCCTGGAAGGCCATCAGTCAGACGGAATTTGGGCCCACCCTAACAGCCCCACTTTGCCTTAATTATCTCTGTAAAGACCCTGTCTCCAAGGACAGTCACAATCTGAAGGACTCGGGGTTGGGGGGGCTAGGACTTCAATGTACGAATTTTGAGAGGACACAGTTCAGCCCCTAACACCTGCCATCCCCAATTCTCAGACTGTAGAGAGGAGATCACTCTGTCTGGGGTTGCTGAGAATGTATCAACCACCCTGAAGCTTTTCACCCAAGGAGGCATTGTGTGACGGTGACTGAAAGACGGAGAGAGCCCTGAGCCCAGATACACTGAAATCCAACTCTGCTCCGGCCTTTCCACTGCCAGGTATGAAAGCTGATGAGCTCCCTTTTTCACTTTATTGCTCTAAAAGGGTCAGAACATCAGTTAGTGCTCTGATGCTTGTAACTAAGAGTTAGTTAGTGCAAGCACTTTTACGCCAAAGTGACCCAGGTCTCCAGGACATGCAGGAGGGCCCACAGGGCAGCTGTCCAAGTGGTAGAATCTGGACCCAAATCCAGGGCTCTCAGGCTCCAAGGTGCCAGGTGTCAGTCCTGAAGCGGCTCCTAAGGATGCTTCCGGGTCACCACTGTTCTTAGCACAGTGGAGGATCAGGTCGAACCCACACTTCCCACAGAGAGGTCTTGGGGGCCACCCCTGCCAGAGCCTTTCCTGCAACATTCTCAAACTGCTGCTTGGACGTGAATTCCCCAACAGACTGAGGACTCCTGTCCTTCCAGCCCGACACCACAGGCCCGGCAGCAGTGCCTTCCACACAAGGCATAAGGGCAACACAGGACTGGGGGTCTGACCAGCCTTCCAGCCCCCATGGTCTTCCCTGAGACCCTCTTGGGAACTCTCTTGGTGGTTCAGAGCCCCCAAGGGAAGGCAAGACGCAGGACTGACTCTGGGTCATGAGCTTTGACCTGTACTTTCTCTACCACCTCAAAAAGCCTACAGAGCTTTTTGTTATCCAATATTGTTATCATTTTTTGATAAGGACCCTTATAGTTATTAAGTGGCAGATCAAGATTTGGAGCCAGTTTGGATTTACTTAGGAGCTCTGGGCCCCTCGCTGCCTGCTCCTGTCTGTCCATCACCTGTTTATCTGACTTTCAAATTTCCAGTCAGCATGCTACCCACAGAAAGAAACCCATTTCACATCACTATCCAGATCACACCTACAAATATTAATAGTTGAAACAAAAACTTCACTCAAATATTTTTTATTCCAGGCCACACTAGTTCAAAATTTCAAAACGCTGGCTGCAAACCCACAGAACTGATTTCCTATCTTACAAAAGAATTGTGACTCCCAGTTTAAAAAAAAAACGCTTATCCACATAACTCACATGAATTTACATCCATACAACACACAGAAAGGGGTAAAAAAAACCACAAGAGAACATTTCTGTTTTATACATTTTTCAGATCATCCAAAAATTCATTTGTGGATCTGAATTTTTTTTCCCCATTGAATTGCAACTTCTGACTTCCTGATCTGTTAATGACAGTATTACTTCATCATGTGCCTTTTCTTCCTACTAAAACCTCGGAGGTCCTGTTAAAGGCTAGCTCAAGTTCGACCATAATGTCCTTGTCCCACTGGGCCCTAAGAGACTGAATTTTCATGCCAAAAGGTCCACCTTTGCCCAGATCCCAGGGTGTCTCCAACTTGGAGATGTGACTTATCAGCGAGTTTGGTTTCTGGACCCTCTGAGGTGGATCAGGAAATGCCAGACAACTTGACCAATGTTAGGAGGACAGGAAGGACATGGCCACTGGGCGCAGCAACCATGTTCTCTCACCCTGTCCAGCAGGGTAGGAAGTCTGAAAATTAAGACGATTTTCAAATCATTCACTGGTTATTACACACAGTTCTATGAGAGACTAATTCTAACCCCAAAATACCAGGTCTGAGACTGCACACCTACATTCCCAGTCACGGTCTGTGCAAAGCTCCCAGGAGGACAACTGGAAGATCTGGGAAGAATCAGGTTTTGAGCCGCATGGATTAGGAATGAACAAATCCTGGTTCTATTCATAGCTCTCCAGGTCTACACCACCAAAACCCAAGAGAGGCAGGATTATTTGAATGATTCAGAGCATGTGTCCTGTTACCATTCTCTACCTCCACTGCAGGAAATGAAAACAAAAAAACCTCCATAAGCAGATTGTTTATTTACCCCTCATATCAGAAAAACAGCTGGGGTCATGATATTAATACCACATGGATGGCTCATGCCCTTTTCTCCATCTTTAAGATGGGATGGCTGTTTTTTTCCTAGCATCTCAGGCTTTTTTATAAATCTTCTCTAACACTCAGTTCCTGCCCCAGTACTACAGTTCTTATCAAACCAAGCCAGTTACTCTTGCTAGAATCTTTGAGTAGTGAGCCTGCCAGGGAAGGCGTAGGAAGAAAGACTCCAGGATGGTCCACAGGAACAACAGACAGCTTGAATCCCAAGGCCATCCTCCTGAACATGTCCTCAGCAGTTCTGAGCAGACGGGAGAGAGAAGGCCGGTCTGCAGAAGCCAGAGCCAGCGAGGATTGGAACGGCCTCTTACCTGGGGGGCAGACACACTCATTCGGCACTTCCCGAACTGTCCGGAGCTTGACTAGTCCCTCCAACTTCTGAATGAGAAAAAGAGGGGGAAAAATGCGATGAGTTTGATACCAGGGAGAGGTAAAGTGAACAAATTAGCAAAAACCAATGTATTGGAAAGATCTGCTGTGTCGGTGATTTTGGAGAACATTTTCTAAAAGGTCATTAAATTCTACAGGCAGTTTTAGAATGAGAGGAGAAACAAAAATAAACATTGAGCAATTACTTGGGAGTCCCTCGAGAGGTGGCAGGTTTCTGCTTTGCTGCAACATTTTCAAACGCACACCCAGAAAAGGCAGTGACCATGCGCTCTGAGTGACGCCAGGAGGGCAGAGCAGAGGGAGGCTGGGAAGGTCAGTCAAAACCGGCCCTTGTGGAGCTTTCCTCACTCGGATCATCCCCTTCTGAACTCAGGAAGTCCCTGGCCCCCGGCCGGCAGCCCCTGTGGCCCAGGCCTAACCCACCCTGCTAACACTGTCCTTACCAGCCGGGATTCCTACACTAGAGAACTTGGTTCAGTACAGTTTAACAAGAATCCTTACACATGCCCAGCCTGCACAGACTGGGCTGATGGGAAAAGAATAACCATAGAAATAGAGTCAAAAGTCAGAGGTCCACTATTATGATAACTCACAGTACAGTGCTGACATAACCATTGTCTGATTTGACACTCAGGGTAAACTCTAAGGCCCGAAGTCTTCCCTGCCTCTGGATAGTGGATACAAGCTTGGCAAAAGAAGAAATTAGTCCCAAATCCCAAAGCTAGGTTTAAAGAGAGTGAAGGAATTAGCCCGCAGTTCCAAAACTAGCTAAGACTTGATTTCTGACAAGAAAATACAAAGTATTAACCTTTCTCAAGGGAAAAAACAAAAACAAACAAAAATAACTCTCCCTAAAAAGCAAAACAAAGCAAATACCAAATGTGTTGAGTGAAACATGCAGTACTACCACCAGGAAAGGTATTTAAGGTTCAAACATAAAAACACAATTTTTCTCAATAAAAAACAGAAATAAAATACCTCGAAAATGATAAAGCAAAGAAACAAAAATGTAATTTTCAAAGCACTGCTTCAGAGAAGGGAGAAGGTCACCCCTGGGGTCTTGAGCCCTTGACCACCAAGCCTGGAACATTCACAGAAGAAGGGACTCTAGCTGAGCCCTGCTGTCTCTGGCTGGAACAGCCTAGAACTGGGATCCTGAGACAAAACAATTAAGCAGGGTAATCCTGGGCACTGCAAGGCACTGCAGTGCCAGCTCCATCCTCGTCCAGTGGCGTCCCCCTCTTTTAGAGCTGGGCAGCAGAGGCTGATGGACAGTAGAGAGGGTGAAGCCTGCAAGGTTAAGAGCACCATGGCAGAAGCCTATGATGGCAGCCCCTTAACAGGCAGAGGGAGGGCGTAAGGGTGCACTGGCTTCTCCATCTTCACTGCACCTCTTCATCCCCCAGGACCTTGGCATGGCCCCAGAACAGAACTTGGCTAGGCCTCTGGACAACAGGCTTAGGCTCTCGGCTGGCAGGCCCCCACCTGAGACCTCTTCCTGCTTTGCCCTGAAGCCACCAGGGAGCAGCCAGGGCCAGCTGGTGTCCAGAGACCCCCAGGCTGCCAGGGGTTCCCACCAGGGGGGTGAGACCAGCTCCACCAGCAGCAGCAGGCCCCATCCCCAGGCTCACCACCACCCTGAGCCGCCCCTGGCCTCCTGCACTGGGCCCTGGGGCACTGCAGACCCTGCTGTTTGCTGACCAAGCTGCCTGTGAATGCAGAACGGGACACAGAACTCAACTTTTTTCCCATTGTTATTTGCAGATACTATCAGATTTCAAAATTTACATGGAAAAAAAATTCAGCCTTCTTGCTTAAGCCAGTTAATTTGTGTGAGAAGCTCTCATCTGCTTTTATCATTGCTAGACAGACTAGAAGTCACACCAATTTCCTTTTTTAAAACAAAAGCACTTCATGCTAAAAAACAATTCACTTTAAACAACTGCTATCACATCTGGGTCCTACTCCTAAAAGAGAAGGAGTCTTTATCAAATACTGATAGGAAACACAATTACTTTTAAACTACTCTGATCTTAAAATAAAAAGCTGCACAGTAAACTATGAAATGAGAGCAAAAAACAAAAACTTTTACTGTTGATGCTTATAAAGGGGATCATAAAATACCGGGATTGCGTTTTTATTTTGTCATTTATCCTAAGTCTTTTTATGCATTTGTCTGTTTTTGTGGATTAGACTCCAGTCTGCAGTTTTATCTGCTGGTCCTCTAGTCTTCTACCCACCCGCCTCCAGGCCCCTAACTTTCTGTGGATTTAAAACATTACTCCTATGAACACAAAGTGAAATGTTTGAATTAGAAACCCAGTCCCACAATCTTTATTTCCATGCTTTTTTTTAATTCTAAGAAAATATTCTTTTGTGTCCAGGTTTGTAAAAATGATTTAAAAGCCTCAACATTTTACATTCAATTATCTGGCAGCACCCTATAGCATCTGCAAACAATATGGTCCCAGTTTTACATACGCAAACAAGTCCTGACTCTGAAAGTAAATACAGTTTCTGAGAAAAGACCCGAGACTTTGGGAACGGTCCCTCCAGAAGTACGGAGAAGCAAAGCTTGAAATTTTGAGGGAGAGGTGGCAAAAGCAGAGGGAAAACTAATCAGGGAAAATTGTGGTTTTCAAAAAAGCATTACGTGGTCAGATGATAAGTTTACTCATGACCTGCTGGAGCACTAGTTTGGAACACTTCACCAGCTGTTGATCATATACTAGAACAGTTGCATTTTGATATAGAGTTTGCATTTTGAAATATAGATTAACGTACCAAAAAAAATAAAAAGGATATCATGATTTATTTCTGTAAAATGCTACAAATAAAGCCACAAAGACATTCCTACCCTTTGACAGAAAATTCCTCCTCTAGGGACTATATCCCAAGGAAACAAATGAACAGGAGCAAAACACGGAGTTCATGAAGATGCTGTCCTATAAAACAGTGGGAGTGGATGAGAAAAGGATGGTGGGTCCCTTTGATGGTACTGTCACATATCTTCATGTAGCAACAAGAAAAAATGTTTATGTCACAATAAATAAGATGTCTACATTTGTGTAAAAATTCAGGCGTGGGGTGGCAGCAACTACTAGAACATGAAACCACCGCAGTGTTGGGAAAGGGTGATTCACTTCTTTGTAAGTTCTGTGTTATAATACTGTCTTCTCAGTAAAAAATGAAAACAAAAGCCTGGAACCAGAAGAACCAAAATGAAGCCCTGAAATCTCCCTGCTGAGGACAAGTTTTGAATGACGGACAGATAACTGCCTCCTGAGGAAGACCAGATCCCAGATCATCCCTGCTAATAACACACACACCACCACCACCAGAGGAAAGACTTCTGGAGAATCAAACCCTCTCCTGCAGCTGTGAGGCAGAAAGACAGAAATGAGCAGGATGAAAAGGAGAAAGAGCCCCCCACTCAGGGAGTTGATCAAATAGAATCAGAAAGCCAGAAACGACTCAAAGAGTTAATCAGATGAAGCCACAGGGTCCAAGAGTGACTCAGGAAATGTCCAGGGTCCCACCAAATAAGAAACATCAGAGGCACAGGCACAGCACAGCCCCTGTCCCCATTTCACCAGTCAGAACAAGCCTAGAGAGGGGACAGGTGTCAGTCAAGGACTTCTCTGCCCTGCTAAAAACCACATAAAAGAAGCCTCAGAATGAGCATCCACACCTGCCTGTCTTATCTTAGGCAGGCCTGCTGTGTTACTCTGTGCAGAGTGTATTAAAACTTACTTTGCTTTCTTGACTTTGGTCTCTCCTCTCACTGTATCTGACTTCCCTGTGACACTGGGCCAAGTCCTTTCCTTCCCAACACAGCCACAAATCCTCTGTCCTCCCCACACCCACTAGGGAAGGACCTTATGCATTTTCATTGCCGCAGCAACCCAAAGTACGTGGCTTCTTTGGGTTGTTTTTTCTTAATACCCCGCCACAGTGATGATGAGGACAACAAATATAAAGTGCTATTATCAAGATCATCGATTACTTATGGTGGGCTAGGCACTGGGCCAGCAGTTGCTGCCTCCCCTAAGTCTTCCCAGTGATTCCCAGGAAGCTGTGACTATTACTGTACTCAGTTACAGATGAGAAAACTGGGACTTAGGGCAATGGAAGGTCTGGATTTGAAAACTGGCATCAACTAATTCCAATCACAAAGCAAGACAGCCTCCACTTACAAGCAGTTTTCCTATCTGAAAAAGTTGCCATCAAAAGCCAGGCCATACAAAACCTTAAGGACAGAAATCAGGTCATTGGTTGCCAAAGGCTGGGGGGAGTTTGAGGAATGAAGTACAGGAGACTAACGGAGGAGAGGTTTAAGGTGATGTAACTGTTCTGCAGGGTGTTGCGGTGGTGGACACAGAACTATGCATTTGCCAAAAGCTATAGGGCTGTGCATTACAGAGTGAACTTTAAGGGATACAAGTTTTTGAAAAAGATCAATTAGGACATCAGACAATCCCAGGATGGAATGCAGGCTGTGACAAATTAATTTTACAAATCTTACTGTATTAAAACTGTATGATGTAACATCACTGAAGTTGGTGGGGAAAAACATGTATGACCTAAGTAACTTTGCAAAATGGTGTTTTGACCAAGAACTGTAAGGCTGAAGACAACAGCAACTGTACATACTCTGTACTCTAGTACTAAGATTGCTTCTCCAGGGCTATAGATTAGCCACTTTGAAACCAATTTCTGTATATACTAGGTTGAACAGATGCATAAATTAACTATGGATAATGGCAGCCAAGTTTCTCACTGTCCAAGGAAGAAGCTCTAAGTAAGCAAAAGGGGAAAGCCAGAATGAACCTTGTCATGAGGGGTTAGTCAGAAACAGTGCTGTGAGGTCATATTTAATGTATACAGGCAAACACATACAAAAATCATCATAGGTATCATGGAGGAGTGAAGATCCCCACATACATGCCCTAGCTTTCTGCAGATAAGACCCACAGCCAATGACACCC